ATCGCGATACATATTGATATTGAATTACTGTCCAGCCCTAATATATATATATATATATATATATATATATGTTCATGGAATTGTATTTGATATTTGTGACCCTGGACCACAAAAGCAGTAATAAGGGTCAGTTTATTTATTTTTTGATTTATACAACATCTGAAAGCTGAAGCTCTCATTGATGTATGGTTTGTTAGGATAGGACAATATTTGGCTGAGATAGTTAACATTTGAAATGGATCAATACCCGTTCTTGTCTTAGGACAACTTTGATGAACTTTTTTGATCCACTTCAAATGTTGACTACTATATTTGAAAATCTGGAATCTTAGGGTGCAAAAAGATTATTGAGAAAATCACCTTTAAAGTTGTCCAAATGAAGTTCTTAGCAATGCATATTACTAATCAAAAATTCAGTTTTGAGATATTTATGGTAGGAAATTAAAAATATCATCATGGAACATGATCTTTACTTAAAGGGGTCATGTGATGCGATTTTGATTTTTCCTCTCTCTTTGGAGTGTTACAAGCTCTTGGTGCATAAAGAAGATCTGTAAAGTTGCAAAGAATAAAGTCTCAAATCCAAAGAGATATTCTTTAAAAAAAAATGTTTTTAATATTAAATCTGTTTATTGAACTTTTACAATAATAACAGGATACAGCTACAGGAGAAAAAGAGATATTCTTTATAAAAGTTAAGAGTCAACCACACCTACCTAAAACGGCTCGTTCTAACACGCCCCCCACATGTCTACGTCACGATGTGGGAAGATTTGCATAATGCCGCCCAAATGTTCACGCAAAGAAAGAAAGCGTAACTCTTATTCTCGCTGTAGTATTGTTGCTGCCGCCATGTCGTGAAGATGCTGTGTTTCGTTGTGAAAGCGAAACTACTTTGTTTGGTCTTCCAAAAGACGACGATATCCGCTTCTTCATGCCTAGAGCTGATCCGTGCTGGTCGCTGAGGAAATACATCAACTTTGCGCTGTGGATCGCCAGATCGGCTTTCACCGTGGACGAAGCGGAGTCCAGCCTGGGGTCGTCACACGTGGTTGCTCCTTCGTCGAATCCACCGGCCGCACCGTTCTCAAGCCCGCCAGCCTCCGCTCACTCTAGCCCTCCGGCCGTTCCTCACTCTAGCCCGCCGTGTGTGACGCTGTTTCGTTGTGAAAGCGAAACTACTTTGAAAGCCTTCCAAAAGAGGACACGACTAGAAATCAGTGGTTAAGTTGTATTTACAACACTGTTCCAGAACAGTTCAACCCAAATATTCAGATGTGTGCAGCACATTTTATGGAGGACGTTTCCTGATTCTGGTAGAGTAGACTACAATGCCGGCTGTTCTGACTCACAGATGGTAAGTACGTTTTTTTTTATTAAAGAATTTGCCACTGACGATTCAAACGCAAGTTTTGAGCAGTGTAGAGTAGCGCTTGTTGTTTGTAATTTCTCCGATCACAAATGCAGACATGGTTTTATGTTTACGCTGCGTGATGCAACACGTAAAAAGACAGTATAAGTCATTATAATCCGTAATTATGTCCCCACTGAATGCAACAAATTCCTCGTTTATAATGGGTTTTAATGTTTTTGTCTCATCGCTCTGGCCGGACAGGGCATCACAGTATGGTAAGGGGCGTAACATTTCCGTCACACACTTAAGGTATTCGGCCAATCACAATGCACTGGATAGCTGGCCAATCACAGCACACCTTGCTTTTCAGACCGATGAGTTTTGTAAAAATCAATGCGTTTCAGAAAGGTGGGGCATAGAGGAGAAACAATAATGTACAGTATGTGGAAAATAATGTGTTTTTTGAACCTTAAACTGCATAAACACATTTCATTACACCAAATACACAAAATAATGTTCTTTTTAGCAACATCATATGACCCCTTTAATATCCTAATGATTTTTGGCATAACCCATACAGTGTATTGTTGGCTATTGTTACAAATATACCCGTGCTACTTATGACTGATTTTGTGGTCCAGGGTCACATTTAATAAGATGGGCATAATTATAAGTAATATAACTAAACTGGACTGAAATGACCAAATATTTGCCAATTAATCAGTATGCCTGATAGCACAAATTTTTGGAAATGACTACATTAAAACCACAATGTGCAGGGTCAAGCTGTAATTGATTTATGCACTACACGGGACATTTATCAGAAGCAGCACATCTTTAGTCTCCAGTCACATGCACACATGCGCCTTTAAATGCATCACAAATTTCATTAGTAGCATTTTACTTGCTTAGCATGGGGAATTACGTAATGTGTGTTCTTCACTGTGCTATTTGTGTATGTTTGTATCTGCAGCTGGATATCGTTGGAGAGCCTAAAGATGGTTTATGTTCCTACGAGGGTGCCGTGGTGATCCTAGACGCAGGAGCGCAGTACGGGAAAGTGATTGACAGGCGGGCACGAGAGCTGTTTGTCCAGTCTGAGATTCTGCCTTTGGAAACGCCAGCCTTCGCTATCAGAGAGCAGGGTTTCAGGTGAGCCCATCGGTGCCAAGATGGATGTAGTAGTTGATGCTGCTTGGTTCTCACGTTAAAAAGTGCCAGGGAAACCTAATTGAATTGCAAAGTAGAAATGTTTGATATGGTAACCGTCCGACAGGCTTTAGTATCTGAACTAACATTCTGTGAATCAAAGGCCTTCTTCCTTTTAAAGCAGAAGACATTAGAATGATTAATCTTCATTGCTTGTAGCACGTTTTCTTAGTTGGAAACTTTAAACTTTGTGAAAACGCTGCTATTGGGTTGTAAAAGTTAAAATGTTAGGTATTGGTGTATGTTTTATTCCATTGCATTTCAGGTTTTATTAAATAGCAGCTGTGTGGTGCAACTAAGAGTAAAAATTGTGATCAGGATTTATTAGTCGTTGTGTACTTGAGGTGTTATAAATAAAGACTGTTTTCTATTTTCAAATGTTTTTTTTAATGCATGATCGGGGACTGCAAACACATTGTGTTATTGTACAGTTATAATCATCACCCAGCTTCACCTTTAAGACCTAAAACTATTCTAGAAATGTTTAAGGCATCAGTTGCTGAAGATAAACGGTCATATTTCGGTTTATAACAACGGTTTATTTTGTTAGCCGGTCTGTCCTTGAGAGAACACAGTGTGAGTGCTGTGCATTCCACCTGTGAGGACATAAAAGGAAACAAAGCCGTTGTGTTTTTCCGAAGCTGTGAACATTGAGACTCGGAATGTGGCTGATAGAAGGACAGAATAACCCACAAGTTGGAGAGATAAGTGGCTTAGATGATCTGGCCTTTGCATTAGAACTTCCCTAGTCTCAATGATTCAACAGACAGACAGACTCTTTCCATTATTCTCAGTCACTTGGGATTTTTTGTAATTATATTTTGGTTAATGTAAATTGGTTTATAATGTGTAAATCAAATTATTGTCTCCAATGCTAGGGCCATTATTATATCCGGAGGGCCAAACTCTGTCTATGCTGAAGATGCACCCTGGTTTGATCCAGCCATATTCACCATCGGAAAACCAGTTCTCGGAATCTGCTATGGAATGCAGGTGAGAAACGAATTAGCAATAATAATAATAATAATGATGATAACATTTGATTGATAATATACGTGTCACTACCAATCAAAAGTTTGAAGTTGGCATGATTTAAAAAAAAAATTATTATTATTTAAAATAAGTCTCTTACGTTCAGCAAGGCTCCATTTGTTTAATCAAAAAACACAGTAAAACAGCAATATTGTGAATTTTATTGCAATTTAAAATAATTTAATTATTAAAATAATTTTCTATTTTAGGGATGTAACGGTATGAAAATTTCTTATCATGATTATAGTGACCAAAATTATCATGGTTATCAGTATTATCACGGTATTGTTAAAATGCGCTGGAGATGTTCAAAAAGTAACGCATTCTGACACCAATGATGTTCGGATTTTAAATGACAACTTGACTGACAACAGTTTAATAGCATGTTGAAATATCTAATGTAAATGTTCAAATAAAGCTTTGAAAAAGTTTAATAAAAAGGTAAACCTCACATGTCAGCCTTTAAATAAAGAAAATATATACGTCAAAATGATAATTGATTAATAAATGATTATATGTATTTTATCTGCTCCATAAATAATTCTAGATAACTCATCTGAATTGTTTAAATGTGTAGAATCCACATAAGCTTGTTTTTCATCAACCGGTCAAAATGTACAGCAGGGCATGCAAATTCAGTCCATTTTTGGCCAGACAAAAACTGCACACAGACTGAATGTAAATATAAGTCTCTGTAAATCCACTCACTGACAGCAGGTGGCGCTTATGGAAAAGCAGAATTAGAGCTGTTTCCTGTAACCTCCGTGGACAAAGCAGTATTGCGATTAAGAACACTTCCTTTAGGTATTACATGGAGTGAAGATTAAAACAAAATGCCATCGAATCGTTTCTGAAGATAGTCAGAACCTTCAGAGGTACATTCATATAATTAATGCATTCATATATTCATTTGCATAAATCCCTTAGCACTCTTTTAAAACCTCCCATCTTTTCCGCCCTGTTTTCACTCAAAACGAAACTACTCTGCTGCTGTGCGCATGTGAGATTGTTACTTAAAACTGTGCTTTATGCTGGACAGTATTTATTTATCGTCAGTTGTTCAAATCGCGGTAATCTAATACGGTTTTAATGATAATTAAAAGATGAAACGCTAATAGTAACCGTGGGGAAATTTATCATGATTTATCGTCAAACCGGTAATCGTTACATCTCTATTCTATTTTAATATATTTTAGAATTGAATTTATTCCTGTGATGGCTAAGCTGATTTTTCAGCAGCCATGAATCCAGTTTTCAGTGTCACATGATCCATCAGAAATCATTCTAATTTGCTGATTTGGTAATAAAGAAACATTTCTTATTATTATCAATGCTAAAAACAGGTGTGCTGCTTAATATTTTTGTAATAAGTATGGTGCAATTTTTTTCAGGTGTGTGTGTATGTATATATATGTATATATGTGTGTCTATATAAAACGATAAATGTTTTTTTTTTATGCTTGCCAGATGATGAACAAAGTTTTTGGAGGCACAGTACACAGGAAGAGTGTGAGGGAGGATGGTGTTTTCAACATTGCTTTGGATAATTCCTGCTCGCTCTTCAGGTATAAGTCCCTTCATTATGGCAGATTTTTATTTATTAATTAATTAATTTTTTGGTCACCATGTTTCGTACATGCCTTAACTTTATCATTTATAAATTTGCAAAGTAGTTAATAGTTTTCTTGCGCTGAAATCCTTTTGTGTATTTCAAGGGGGCTGCAAAAGGATGAGCATGTTCTGCTGACACATGGTGACAGTGTTGACAAAGTAGCAGATGGATTCAAAGTTGTTGCACAGTCAGGAAACATAGTTGCCGGTGGGTAGGCGAACCTGAAGAATATTTCCTAGACATGCTTTGTATCAAAAAAAGTGTTGCTGGAATCAGCTGGATTCTTTGTGGATCTTTGTGGTTTAAGACGTTTCCTGTCTTCATTTCTGTCTTAGCCATTGCTAATGAGCAGAAGAAACTTTACGGCACTCAGTTTCACCCAGAGGTCGATCTGACTGAGAGGGGGATGGACATGCTACGCAACTTCCTGTTTGAGATTGCTGGCTGTAGCAGTAACTTTACAGTACAGAACCGTCAGCTGAACTGCATCAGGGAGATTACAGAGAAGGTGGACAAATCCAAAGTTCTGGTGAGTATCTTTTAAAACAATCATTGATCACTTAAAGGATAACCGTTGCATTTTCCGTATCATGTCTCAGGAAACTTTCACTATCTTTTAAATTACATTCAGTGATTCTAGTGAAAATGTTGATATTGTTAACTAAAACAAAAAAAAATAGTTTTCTGTAATTGCTTTAAAGCATAAATATTAGATGAAAATCTTAAGTTCGCTTTGTCAAGTTTGAGTTGAATTGCTCAAATTAAAATTGAAATTGAAACAAAAAAAAGGTGACAAAATACATAAAATTACAAAAAAGTTAAATTTAAATGAATACCGAATATATTAAACTAAAAGCTAATTCAAAACGTTAAATACTATGGGCCAGATTTACTAAACACGGCAAATTAGCGTTAGATTGCAATTCCATAAAAGCACCGATGGGAGGGAAAATTCTGCGGGTGATTTACTGACAATGCACACATTAAAGAACACAGACAGATCATTTCCATAATGACCAGCGCAATCTACAAAGAGCAGCGCAAATTGCCGACTGCTTTAAGACATGCTTATTTTGGGCGTTAAATAGTAGCACAAATACCAGTAATTTGATGAGCGCAAAGGTTAGTAAATCACATTGTGTGATTCATTTTAATACTCTCCTCCCGTAAATTTTGCGTCTCAAAAGGAAACTCCTGCAAATGCATTTTCAATAAGGTCAGGCGCAAATAATAACTGTCCACGCCTTTTCAGCGTTAATTCTTCACTGCGCGTCTTTACTAAATCCTGACAGTACTATTTTAACGTCAAAAGACAGTTTGCGTTAGCACAAGCTGTTAGTAAATCTTGCCCAAAAATGGTAAATAAGCACTGTTCTAGTGGCACTTGTGAGATAATGTATTTAGCTGTAGTATACTCAGGGCCCTCTGCAGTGTGCCAGAAGAGAGGCGTTCAATAGGGAGTCTCTTCAAGTTAGAGGAACTCAATTATGGCTTGATCCTAACAGTTGTTTGCTGGTTCTTATGAATGTCTTGCCCTTCAGGGTAAAGTAATCGAACCACTGAAGGATTTCCATAAGGATGAAGTGAGAGCACTAGGTCGAGAGCTGGGGCTCCCTGAAGAAATCGTCTCTCGACACCCCTTCCCTGGTAAGACCATCAGAAATATTCAAATCCCTTTTTCTGCCTAATTAAAAAATTATTTTGTTTCAGTTTCACTAATAATTAAGCCCGGAACACACCAAGTCAACGTCAGGCCATCTGTGAGCATCTGTTATGTTAGTTTGTTTGGTGTGTTCCACACGTCAGCTCTCGTTGGGCTCACGTCGGCGGTAGTTTGCCCGATTCAACATGTTGAATTGGCGTCAGGGCGGTCGGCGCAAGTGAGAACGCTGATTGGATGTTCAGTTTAGCGAATGAGTCGGTGCCCGAGAATTAAAGCGAAAGTGATGAAAACTAGTAAGGAAATGAAGGTGGCACAGACAGAAGGCTGTTCTAATGTTACGTGATCTTACCCCAAGCATTCCAATGTGCGAATATTTTCATAACCACATGAGCCGTTTAAAATGAAGAAAGTTACCAACATAACTGATTAAAAACGTATTAACATATTAAAAATGGTAAGCAAGCGCTGCTTTGTTGACGTTTCAGTTTCTTATTTTAAATGACGAATATATACTATTGATAGCTACTGATATAGACAGTTAATTCCTCTCATTCCTCTCAGTTGGTGTTTAGTATTGAAAAAATTGAATGGTTATTTTTAATAATAAAAGTATGCACATCTATACAACAAGCACACATTAGCAGTCAAAAGTTTGGAGATTTATATATAAATATGGGCTGCCCCCATCAAGTTAGCCAGGGAAGAAGCATACTTCAACATGTTAAATATATATTGCATAATAATAATCACGAAATTGCTTCATTTAGTCATACTATTCGACTGGTAGTCATGTTAGCACCTCTTAAAAATCAAACAAATCTAAACGGTCTTTCGTTTGTGTGTGTGCGGGGCACCGGACAAATGGGTGTCTATTAGGTCTGTAAATTTTCGAAACGCATGTGACTTAAGGCTGAGCTCTAATTGACCCTCCCACTCTGATTCTGCATGTATCAGAGAAGTTCTGCACTCCGGTGCGTTTAGCGCTCACACTCACTGATCTATATATAAATGAACCGCACTCTGGCCCACCTCTTCCAACCGAGCCAGGGACGGCTAAACGAACCGCTCCCGAGTGGGGCACAGAGTGATCACACCAGTCAAACGAACCGAGCTTTGGAGGTCAAACCTGCTCGGGCACGGTTAAGATATTGAGAGTACACCCTAAGTTGTCCAAAACTTGGATTGTTACCGACTTCTGGTGAAAATTTCAGGTCAACAGCACCTTTAGAAATATATTTACTGAGAAAAATGATGTGTTCAATACTTTTTTTTTACCCTCTGTATATGTTTTATTCAGCGATGCATTAAATTAAGTATGTGACACTAAACTAAAGATTTATATTTTAAAATAATGCTGTTCTTTTGAACTTTCTATTCATCAAAAAAAACTAGAAAAAAATGTTTCATGGATTCCACAAAAATATTAAGCAGCACAACAATTTTCAACATTGATTTAAAAAAAAACTAAAGGATTGAGCACCAAATCAGCCTGTTAGAATGATTTCTGAAGGATTATGTGGCTGGTGATAACTTAGCTTTGCGATTACAAAAATCAAATACATTTGAATATTTCACTATTACGGTTTTATTTATTTTTTATTCAGTAAATGCAACCTAGATGAGAATTCCTTAGGGGAAATATACTGTAAAGCCCAACATTTAGAAGGGTAGTATATGTTTTAAATGTATGATGCACATGTAAAGATTAATTGCGATTAATGACTCTAATGTGTGTGCTTTGCTGAAATCTGTGTTGCAGGTCCAGGCCTTGCCATTAGAGTGATCTGCGCCGATGAGCCTTACATCTGTAAAGACTTTGCCGAGACCAACAACATCCTAAAAATCATCACAGACTTCTCAGCCAGTGTCAAAAAGGTGTGTGCGCGCGTGAATTTAAACATTGCTTATTTCTTCGCTGAATTATTGACAGTGACCTTAAATAATTGATGATCTTCAACTTAAAAGTCTGTAAGTTTGCTGATTAAGTTGAAAGTGTATACTTGAAAGCACACAGTCGTTCCAGAGTTCCCTCTGGATTATATATGGCATGCTATACAATCTCAATCCTTTTGATGTCAATCCATTCAGCCTCACACCCTTCTTCAGAGAGTGAAGTCATGCATATCAGATGAGGAGGAAGAGAAACTCATGCAGATCACCAGCCTTCATTCACTAAATGCCTTTCTGCTGCCAATTAAAACTGTCGGTGTTCAGGTAAGCATTGTTTTCTGCCATTGCTTTCATGTCACATTCAGACATATTTGTAATGTTAGCATAAGAATTATTTATTTCGGGGTTTTTTTTTGCACTGGCCAATATGTCAGCCACCTTGGTCTTATGCTGACACGTAGTTTTCGTTTACAGATGCCATTGCAGAAATGCACTCAGCAGTCAGCCCTAATTCATTTATTCCACATGCAAAAGTGTCTAATAACGGAGTTATTGAGATAAAGTAAATAGTATTTGGCAGGTCATGTGAGCTCAACATATTGAGGCAATCCTTTCACTGTAAAATAAAACTTCTTTTATTAGGCTATTTCACTCAAGTCTTAATTTATCGGAGTACATGATTTTTAATGTATTTGCTATGAAGCATGATGGGAGAGTTTGGGAAACCTATTTGGAAAGCAAATAATTACAAATCTGTGTTATTTCCCCTCAGCTGCTATTTTAATTGTTGTTAGTGCCAATGTTATGATCTACAACTTAGACTAAAACTATTAAACGTTATTGAAATATTAAATGTAAAACGTAAAATAAATAATTTTTCCTTGGCAACAAACTGAATAAGTTTAGGTTGAAGTATTAAAACAAAAAATAAGCAGAAATACATTTAAAAAAGACTCAAGCTAATACAAATTTATATCACAAAAGTACTTAAACTAGAATTAAAATGAAAACTGAAAAGATAGCAGTAAAGCCTAATTAAAAATGTTAATATATACTAAAAAGTATATAAATAATACTAAAATAACACTGGTTACGGTGACTGTTCACTTGTTTGAGGTGAAATTTATACTGTCACAAATGACAAACTCTTCTGTCTGGCTGCATTGTCTGATGACATTTTCCTGCGTCAAAACATTTGTGGTTTGCCTTTCAAACACAGTTCCATTGAAACACACACAGTGTTGCTTATTCCCTTTCTATTGCTGTGTTTCATTTGATGTTATTTGTAGTAATGAAAATGTCAAAGAGCAGTACTGTCAGTGCAGCACAGTCTGGATATCAGCATATAGAGTGATCGTTCCTCTGCTGCTGTGTGCGGATCTCATGATGTTTGTATTTATAGACCAGTTTTCAATCATAGTGCCAGAGGAGGCTGGTTTACGTCTGTGAGATGAAGCCATTAGACAGAACGCGTCCAGACAGAGGCAGTCAGCGTCTCACCACATTGGTTGATGATGCATGGCTGGGTGTTCCTCTAACAGACTGCTTACTGCTATACCATGCTGTGCTAAAATTACCACGGTCTCCAGACTCTGAGCTGGGACATGCTGACATGCAGGGTGGCAAAACGTTTTAAATTCAGTGCAGGCGTGCACCGTATTTATGCATGTTGTTGTTAACGGATAATAGTTTTAACAGTTGGCGTCTTCTCCACAGTTAGAATGTACTCATTCTGCACAAATGTTTAAAATTAATCTTTCTGGAGATGTTGGAGTAGGCCTGGGCGATAAAACGGTATCGATATTTATCGATGGTACACCTTCTTCGATATCGATATTAAAAAATGTTCGATATAGGCACGTGCTATGAGTGACACAGACAGCACACACAAACACGAACACATGCTGAATTGAGTGCTGTGCCTGCCAGTGATGAGAAGATTGTGAATAAAAAAATTTATATTAGTCGAATTTAAAATAAACATTTGCATTTGAATGTTAGGAGTGTGTCAGGGAGCGTCATCAGTGGTGCACGAGATGTGGTGATAATAATGTAAGTGACGTTGTTGCATTTTAATGTTTTGTTAGTCTAGCCCACGAGATGCGCCGCGGCTGTTATGCATTCAAAATATTAGAGAAACCTATAGAAGCTCAATGTGGAGAAGATCTTGATTAGGTGAAAATCGAAACCAAGCCATTCACGCAGAACGCATATTCGGCGCATTTTTTAGATGGACAAAATTTGACTGCTGCACTCGCGTCTCACACAAGAGATGTAGCCATGCAAAGTTAAAACAGTTTAAACTTTTAGAAAACACGTCGCGAATTTGTGGAGGTTTATTTCCTTTCACTGCGTCTCATATGTTTTTAAAGGCAATCTGTGTGATGGTCGATTCGGCTCTTTGTATTAAGCAATGCATAAATACATGATGCTGTTTTGTTCATAATTGTTTATGCAATTTACGAAATTATATTTGATTTATATGAGTTAATTTAGACGTAATGCACTTTTTTTATAGACCGTTAAATCCTTGAGTTGACCATTTAAATGTGCTGCATTATTTTGCTCATTGTGCCATCCTGTGGCCTTGGGAGACAAGCCACAATTTCCTTAAAGGAAACATATTATGCCCCTTTTTACAATATGTAATATAAGTCTCTGGTGTCCCCACAATGTGTCTTGTGAAGTCACAGATCTATTATATAATTTTGAAAATGCCTATTTTGAGTGGAAGCAGAAACGCGCTGTTTTTCAGGCCTGTCTCTTTAAATACAAATGAGCTGCTGCTCCCCGCCCCCTTTTCCAGAATAGAACTCGTACCTGCTAAAAACATCTGTTTTGGTTCTGATTATCATGTTTATCGTGCTGAAATCATGTGTTTTAAACCATATTAGTTTAAACTTCTTATATACGGTTTTCTGAGTGCACACATCCGAAGCACACGGACAGAAAGCGACTGTCACAGCATGCGAGTACTAAACTACGTTTTCATTCACACACAAGTTTACGTTAAAAACACACAAGTTACAAAAACAGTCAGTTATGTCTGTTAAGTGGGAAATACATTGCATGTTTATTTTAGATCTGTGTGGCAGCAGCAATATACATTAAATAAATCGATAAATCCATTGCTCTCTTGTCTCCTCTGAGGCTGGGACTGTAAACGGTGTTCTGTGCTAGTCTCTGCAGCCAAAGACAGAACAGTTAGCATGTTTTGCTCAGACTTTCGCCATGGCATTAGAGCTGGTACACCGTTGTCGCTTGCGAAATCACAATAACGGCGCCATGGGTGTAAACTTACAGATTAAGGGGCGGTAATATTGTAATGAAATCCCTTTGCCACGTCACCAGGGGAGCGAAATCAGACTCACTCGTTTTTTCAGACGCTTGCAGAAAAAGGCTTCCCAAAACAAAGTGACTGGGTTAATCTTTTTCATGTTTCCTTGGTTGGTAGATGCACTGGGGACCTAATTATAGCACTTAAAACCGGGAAAAGTCAGATTTTCATGATATGTCACCTTTAAAACCTATTTAATCTACATATAAAACATTAGATATTTGTTGAATTTTTATTGTGTGTTTGACTGTTAAAACAAAAAAATATTTGTTGTTTGTCTCAAAGTGGGTTAATTTAAAAATACAGTGGTTACATGTTTTTCTATTGCTCTGTTTTAAAAAAGGTTATAAAAAATGTCAATAATCGATACCGAACGATATGAAACATTATATCGTTGATAAATTTTTTAGCTATATCGCCCAGCCCTATGTTGGAGGATTCTATATGTTCTAACTCTGATTCCATATGATCTGTGTACAGGGTGACTCCCGGTCATACAGTTATGTTTGTGGAGTGAGCAGTAAAGAGGGTCCTCACTGGGATTCGCTGATGTTCCTGGCCAGACTCATCCCTCGGATCTGTCACTCCATTAACAGGTAACGCCATCAGGTTGACTCTTTACTCCAGTCGTCTTCCCATCAAGCCATGTGAGGATAATCATCCCCATTGACAGACTCTCTTAAACCTCTTGTGCTTGTTTAGTTAAAAATTATTTGTTTAGATGTGTCGCATTAGGTTTGATGTCACTGAGTATGTTTACTTGGACAACAATAATTCGATTTTAACACAATTAAGACAATACTCTGATTCAGAATCTACCATGTAAACAGATTTTTGATTACCTTAATCTGGCTAAAGTCATACTCGAAGTAGGGCTGGGCGATATGACGATATTATCGTATATCGACGATGTTGATGTCAACAGTCAGGTAACAGACAATTATCGACATTATCGGGGGAAAAAAAATGACAAATGCTAAACCTAGTAAGTTGCAAAAAATATTTTGCATGGCCCCATAGTCACCATACAGGTCTTTTTGAATGCAAGAATGAAATAATTTAGTATGAGGGTTGGGAATCGTAAAGCTATTCCAATTTCGGAAATCAGATCCGATGCGTAAGGTCAGGAATCAAATTATTTGTTATAAAATAAAATTAAGATTCTGCTTCTTGATTCCTGTATGTGCATTTATTGTGATTTCAAAAGATTCAACTGCAAGAAGACGAAATAGAACTCGCTTCTGCACTCGCGCGCTGTTTTCTGTGCTGCACACTCAAAACGCACGCACAAAAGCCACCTCTTATATGCGCGAACACTGAACTGAGCTCTCTTTCTCGCATTTTTACATATTCGAATGGACAAATACACACAGAATTATATCAAAATATCCCATAAATACAATCAGTTATGTCTCAAGTGAACGTAAAGAGCTGAGAAATGTTAATCAAAGAACAAAAGAAAAGAAAATCCCTCACTGATCTTGACTGAATCACTTTTGTAACCTCAGTTTATATTTTATTTGCCTGTTGTTCGGCGCTGACTACTGTAATGGCAACGTGCATCTGTGTATGCGATTATTTTGGAGATGCATTCAACAGATTTTCTTTTTACAGATTTTTGAAACCGTGTATACTATATAATTATGTTTAATTAAGCTGAGATATAGCACTATAAATTCTTAATTCATTTGCAACAAAACTATAAAGTTTTGTTGCAAACGGATTAAGACATTAGTTGGCTTCTCAGCTCGCCCATCAACATGCACGCGTTTGGAGTTTCGCAGCCCAACACTGAATATTATATTGTGGGCATTGTATTTTGATTAATAAAATAAAAATTATAAAAATTACAAAAATGAAATTTAAATTACCCTGCTTCTAAATAAATAAAGCAGTTATTTTTATTTCGTTAAAAACGGGCCAAAAAAGACCGCCGAACTAGGGGAAAAAAAAAACCTTAATGTTTTTGCTCAGAATTTGTTTTTAATCGCTGCATGATTTTAGTCATACATGATAAATATCAAATACGTTATAACTTGACTACAAGTTTAAAAATAACGCTGCAATTGTTAACTTAAACAAATTAAACTTACCATCATGAAATGTGTCTACACAGGCGATAATGCCAAAAGAAAGAGAAACATTGGAAAATAGGCATATTTTATTCAAGACATTATTATATGACATCAACATGCATTTATCATTCTTACAATCACCGCCAGAATGTCCAACTTCACCATGATGAACTTAAAATGGGGTTCTATTATTTTTCCTCAACAGTTCTCCTCACAAAACGAAATTCATTTCAAACACAAATTTGATAAGAACTTATAAGTTGAACTAATAAGTTGAAATGATTAGCAACACCAAAATAACAGCAAAGCTAATGTTTTCTGTTAGTTTAAGCACAAACTAAGAAAAGTAAAACCAAACTTTGTGGCAATAATTAAGACCAAACTGAACATGGTGTGTGTTTATGGTGCATGTCGGCAATGTTGCGGGGGCGGGCGTGGTAGAGGTGGGGCTTAGACGATATTATCGGATATCGCAATATTTTTAAAGGCGATTATCGATAAGATATTTTTTACATATCGCCCAGTCCTAACTCGAAGTAAACACAAATCGAATTAAGACGTGGAGTATTCCTATTTTAGTTGCATTATTGAAGTGTAGTATAGACCTGTACACACCTTAATCACACGATTACTGTCGTGAAGGACTTTTCGCCACATTTTGCGACAGGATACACACACATCAGTGGTCAACCATTTGATGGCAAATAAAAGAGCATGGCTTCAACACCGCCATCGTCTGTATGCACGTATAGCATTACAAATAATTAACTGCACTTAAAGCTTTCGTAAAATTAAAAATGAAACACCCAAAACTGTAATAGGAACTATATGTTTATACATGAAATTCTGGAGGGGACGTCGGATGGCATCACGTGGGGATGTAATGACGTCGATCTATGTACTATAACATGTAAAACAGGAACATGAAAGGAATATTCTAAAAGCAACTCATGTAAACTCCTTAATTGTAATATTGTCTTACTTAGAATAAGGTAAATAATTAGATTACTGATGTCCATGTAAATGTAGTCATTGATTACTGCTAATTGCCATTGGTTCTCATGGGTCACATGGTTGAAAAACACGACTGCAAATGAGATTTGAGAGCTGCCACAAAGTGGAAGATTATTCAGTTGGAAATTAGGGTTGGGTACCGAAACCCGGTACCAATATGGCACGGTACCCATGTAACCGGTATGTACTAGAACCGAATCATAACGCAGATTTCGGTGCCATGCCTGAGCGATCGATTGAAATATTTGTCCTCTGGTTCTCCGAAACAGACGTAAGAAACATCATCACCGGCACTGCACGTGAAAAATAATTTCCCGACTGAGAAAATGCATGTGAACTCAAGTCGGAAAGCTCTAATAATACAAATCCAACAAATCTTTGTAGTAACGAGAGTGTCCATGTTGTTTTCACATTCCGACTTAAAAGCACAACTCGGGAAATGAGAGCATTTGAGGAGCGCGTGAATGCAGTAATTACACTTGCTCTGATGGCAGCAGGTAGCCTTCCGTTAACGAAGTTAAACATGCTTAAATTAAAATGCCTAAAGCTAAACTTCCCTTGTATTCACATTTCTAAACCTGTTGTCCAACAAAAGAGAATATTATATAACCTTTTTACTCCACAACACCAGTCAAATGCTTCCTTTTGTGATCTGATGTGGGTTCTTGTCACAGAATGAGGCACAAAACTTTAAAAAGAATACATGGATTAGCAATAGATTATAAATTAAGGTGACCATACTTCCTCTTTTCCCTGGACATGTCCTCAAAATGGACCTACAAAAATGCGTCCGGCCGGGACTTATTAATTTTCTTAATCCCGCTCCCGCTGAATCTCTGACCGTTGCTGCCTGCTCCCGCAACATGTGTTTTGCTCCCGCGATTTTCGTGTCCACTCCGTTAAACATTCTAATATTGTATATAATTTTGGCGCATCAGGGAGCCGCTCTCAGGATGCGGTATATTTAAATATTTTTGAATGAGCGTTTGTGCCGTTTACTTTCACTTTCGATTTCGCGATCACTGTGTAAAGGGAGCACATCTTACAAGATCAGATATTTGTCAATGAACACACGAATCTGTTGAGCAGCAAATACTCCAGCTTGGTCTTGTCCGTCATCCCTCCCCTTTTCTCAACCTGTGATCAGTCAAATTTGACTCCTGCAGTTCTTCTTGGATGCAGGGTTGCCAAGTCCGCGTTTTTTTTCCAGAGAATTGGGCTACTTTTAAACTGTTGCCATGGGTTGATTTTCCCTAGTGTGTTAAAGGTTTGAAATATTGCATAAATTACATTTGACTGAAATGCTTATATTGAAACATTTTGCATTCTACCTATGATAAAACTTTCATGGACTTCTACATTAACTGTTCCCTCCTGGTGGAATGACCTGCCCAGCTCAATTCAAGCAGCTGAGTCCTTAATATTTTCAAGAAACGGTTGAAAACACATCTTTCATCTTCATTTGACCCTCTAACTCTAGCACTCTCTATTCTAATGCTACTTCTAATTTTATCTGCTTGTTTTTTTTAATTAAAAAACTTGACTTTCTAACATTTGCACTCTCTATTCTATTTCTATTCTAACCACTTGTTTTATTTATAAAGAAAAAAGAGCCTCTATCACTAGCATTCTCTATTCTTTCCACTTATTTTATTTTTATTTATTATAAATAATGACCTTCTAACACTAGTATTATCTGTTCTTTTTCAGTTCTATTGAATTTTTATTTAAACATGACCCTCTAACACTAGCATTCCCTATTCTTTATCTATTCTTTCTACTTGTTTTCTTTTTATCTATTATAAAAACAAAAAAATGTCATGTATACTGTTAGGTAAAGCTCCGCCCACAAACCCGCCCCCTACTGTCCTTTGTTTGCAAAACTAAAATATGGTCATCCTATTATAAATATACTTATGAAAATACCAGAGATGGCTTAAATAACACAGATACACTATATTGTCACAGTCGAGTGTTTATTGTCTTTGTTTTATCATTCAAAACGTTTATATGTTCTGTTTAATCAGTTACAGCTATAATAGTGATGTCTTTGTCCATATTAGGGATTTCCTGGAGGGTCACGAGTTCTCTACTTCTGTGACTGGATGTGTGGATTTTCTGTGCTAGGGCGCCCTCTGGCGTCCAGTATGAATGAAACAAACATCATGCGTTTATAGTGCTAATGCCCAATCCATCATTTTTTGGGGAACTTTTTTTTAAAGTATCGGTTCAGACACCGTTTAGGCACCGGAACGGTTTTAAAAGTATCGATTTGGCACCGGTATCGAAAAAAACCCAAACAATACCCAACCCTATTGGAAATTGCTATTGTATGCTAAAAAAGACAGAAAACAGAAAATAATGCTCACTTCAGGGACTTGATTAGTAAAATTTTATCAGAAAAGATTTTAGATTTGTTTTAAAACTTGTACACGTTTAACTGTTGTATTTTTGTGTTTGCTTGGTTTTTATTGTGCGTTTATGTAACTCCTGTATTATTCCAACTCCGTTTTTTTGATAGCCTTTAGATGCTGACATGGGGGAAAAAAAAGAAAAAGTAAATACAGGGTTGGAACAACACATGGAAGTAAAGATTTTTTGTAATTTTTTTTTGTTAATGGGGACATAACAGTTTTTGCCAATCTCATGTTAATCTTGAGTACCTATAAAGTAGTATTGCATCCTTCATATCTCTGAAGAGTCTTTAGTTTTATCAGATTCATAACAGACAGATACACTTTTACACTTCTCTCTGAAAACAGCTCTTGGAGGCATGTCATGGGCGGCGCTAAAGAAAGCTTTTGCATAGTGATCGTCTGCAAGCTGTGACATCGACAAATAAAACCGTAACAAAAACTTAAATTAACTATAGCTAACGAATTAATGATTGAAGCACATTGATGGACATGCTCTTGCTCTGATTGATGTGTGTGTGCACTCTTCCTGGAGAAGTGCCCATACAAGGATTTCCCCCCTTTATGACATCATACAGGGCCATAATTGGGGAAAAAAAAACTTTCTGAAACTAATATGAACCCTGAAGTCATACGTCCAACTCATTTTTTGAGACTCTGGTCATGTTTAGCATGAGCATCCAACCCTTTAACAGTGCAAATAAGTCAGAAATGAAAGAAATTAATAATTTTATTCAGCAAGGATGCATTATATTAATAAAAACTGATCAGATCAGCATATTCTAATGATTTTTGAAGGATCATGTGGCACTGAAGACTGGACTAATGGCTGCTGAAATATCAGCTTAACCATCACAGGAATAAATGACATTTTAAAATATATTACTTTCACAATATTTCTGTTTTACTGTATTTTTGATTATTGCATCCTTCATATCTCCGAAGAGTCTTTAGTTTTATCAGTTTTGATACTTGGTGAGATTAAGCTTCTTTCGAAAACATTTAAAAATTATACCAACAACAAACTTTTGAACTGTAGTGTACAACAGTTGTCAGTGTCAAGTAAAAGTCATTTAATATGTGTCTTATTTTGTCTCTAATGTAAATAAAGGTTTTTCCTTTTTTCATTCCTTGTTCATCTCTTCCTTTTCAGAGTCGTTTACATTTTCGGGTCACACGTAAAGGAGCCGCCCACTGACATCACACCCACCTTCCTGACCACTGGTGTACTCAGCACGCTAAGACAGGCAGACTTTGTAGCACACTCCATTTTAAGAGAGTCCGGTAAGAGCTGGCTGCCTCCGCTGTCTGCTTCATTATTGTCATAACCTTTATGTGTGTAAACACTCCCACCATAACTATGGCTACTGCGAGAGCTGTGTAAACACTTTCACCACACTTACGTCTGTCTCTGAGGGGAAAGTCTGCTTGGTTGGACAACATTAGTCAAAGGCAGCAAACGTTACTGTTGTAAAAGTTTGATTTCTGTTGTTTATACTGTTTTGACTTTTCAAATGTCTAACAGAACCTAGAGTATAGATACAGTGCCTTGCAAAAGTATTCATACCCCTTCATTGTTTTCCCCACATCAATCTACACTCCATACACCATATTGCCAAAGCAAAAACAGAATTGTCACAACTTCGTGAATTTATTAAAAATAAAAAAACTGAAATAAGCATCCATACCCTAGGGCTGTCGCGATAACAGCAATATCGCAATACCGCGCTATTGACGAGCAAACCGCAGAGGAATGCAAGAACCGCAGCAACCGTGATTTTTGCGTGTTTTATTTTTTCGTAAGGTTATGCCCTTCTCGTTTTACACTTCATGCATGTGGACTGAATATTAAACAAGTTAGTAATGATAACATAATGTGTACCATGCTGATTTGTACAGAGGCTCCGTAGATTTGCACTTAAGCCTAAACAGACAGTGAATGAGAGAGAGATCGACTGAGCGCGTGCGATTACTTGCGTCTGTCCTCCAGGCCGAGTCATATATATTTGTGAAAATAGGTTGTCATGTCCAAGGAAAGCGAAATCTCTGTCTTAGCATTGACGCATAGCTGGTCAGCTGAGCCTTCTAAAGTGGCGCTCAAAGTTAAAATGATTTCAACAGCGTGTTTCATTACGTCTCTCTTTGAATGAATGAATCAGCGTTTTTGAATGTGTAGTTGAATGACAGTCACGTTCCACCACCTTGTGGCGCAACACTGTAACTGGAAATATCAATAGAAAGTCTCTTGTCTAGTCAGATTAAGAGATCAGATTACAACTAGGCTAACTGTTATACATATAGGCTAACGATAGCCTAACGATCTTATTGTCAGGTTTATGTTCTGTTAAGTGGACCGTTATTTTGTCATTCTCTTCTGTTTACTTCACTTCCTGTTTCAACGCTATTTGGTTTCGGTTTCATTGTCTTCTGAATATGACCTCGTTAGTTATATCGTAACACATACACACAAATTATATATATATATATATATGGCGGTCATCCCGCCCTATTGAGCCACTCAAAATTACCGCAAGGGAAATTCCCTCACCGCGACAACCCTACCATACCCTTAACTAAATATTTAGCTGAAGCACCTTTATAGCCTCAAGTCTTTTTTGTTTTATGCGACAAGCTTTTCTTATCAGCATTTGGCAATTATCTGCCATTCTTTACCTCAACTGTTCACCTCTCAAGCTCTGTCAGGTTGGATGGGGGCAGATGCACATTTACAGGTTTCTCCAGAAATATTTGATTGGGTTCAAGCACAGGCTGTGGCTGGGCTACATTCAAAGAGTTGTCTATAAGCCACTCTTGCTGTGTGCTTAGGTTCATTGTCCTGTTGGAAGGTAAACTTTCTGCCCAGTCTGAAGTTCTGAATGCTCTGGACTGGGTTTTCATAAGGCTATCTCAATATTGTGGTGCATTGAGCTTTTCTTCTACTCTGATGAGTCCCTCAGTCCCTGCCGCTGAAAACCAGCCCCACAGCATGAGGCTGCTACCAGCACACTTTACTTTTGGGATGGTACTCTGCATGTGATGAGCAGAGCTGGTTTCCTTCAAACATGATGCTTAGAATTGAGGTTCATCAGGCCAGGCACATAATATATGTAAGGGAAACAGGTCAATTTAGCTCAAAGGGAATCATTTAAGATTTTAAAGGGAACTCCACCATTAATATGTAAGGGAATTAGGACAGAATCGCTGTTTTACGGCTGATCACTGAGACGGCCAGCGAGTCAGTGAACGAGCCGTATGACATCAATTCTGCAATGGATATTTATATCCAAAATATAGTGAAAACACTATTAATTAGCACATGTAACAAGATTGGCAGTTTAAGACATTTGTTTCTCACCGTCTGAGGGTCCTTTAGGTGCTTTTTTTTGGAAACTCCAAGTGTGCTTTGCTTTCACACTGGCCACACCGCAATAAAGCCCAAATCGGTGGAGTGTTGCAGTGATGTTTGTCCTATCTCCACATAGGATCATGGAGTTGTAACTAGAGTGACCATCAGTTTCTTCTTCACCACTCTAACCAAAACCCTTCTCCATCAGTTGCTCAGTTTGTCCAGGAGGCCAGCTCTAGGAAAAGTCCTGGTTGTTTCAAACTTATTCCATTAAGAGTAACAGAGACTACATGCTTCTGTTACCTTTCAATGAAGCATAATTTTTTTTCGGAACTCTTCCCCAGATGTGTGGCTTAATGCAAACCGGTTTCTGAGCTCTACAGGCAGTTCTTTTGACCTCAGGGCTTGGTTTTTGCTCTGATATGCATTTTCAGCTGTTAGACCTTTTATTAAGACGTGTGTGCCTTTCCAAATCATGTCCATTCAATTTGCCACAGGTTAACTTCACTCGAAGTGTAGTAACATCTACAAGCAATGTGAATGCTCCTGAGCTAAATTTTAACTGTCCCAAATAAGGGTATAAGTTTTTTATTTTTAATAAATTTGCAAAGTTTTTTGCTTTGCCGTTATGGTGTATGGAGTGTAGATTGGTGTGGAAAGAAAGTAATATAAAACAGTTTAACACAAGGCAGCAACATAACAAAACGTGAAAAAAAATGAAGGGGTATGAATACTTTCGCAAGGCACTGTACATTAGGGCTATCTACAAATAAATAGGGATGTAACGATTTACTCATCTCACGATTCGATTCATGGTTTTGATTTCACGATTCGTTTTTCTCAAATTTTTTTCTTTTAACAAAATGAGATTGAAGACATTTATACAGTAAATGAAAAGCTGTCTTTTTATTAGGCTATTGCTGCATGTTTTTTTGTGAAATTGAAGTAACAAAACATAAATTGCAATTTTAAAACAAACCCCAAATCAAATAAGTTGCTCAAATAAAAGAAATCTCTTCATATAAACAAACTAAGGCTTTGTCTGTGCTAGGCTTGCCGCGATAGACTGTGCTAACGGTGATACCGGTGTTAAGCAACAACACCGACCCCCACCATCGTTTTGATTTTTTATAGTAATAAAAATCATTTAGTTCAGTAAAAGAACAGACACTACAATTAAAAACTGAACGCGGCTGCTCAATGCAGCGTGCCGAACGACAGTCTCATCACAGATCAGATTTAATTTATCCAGTGAGTCGAGCTGACTGACAAGAAGAGTGAGGTGAGACAGACGAGACGATCGCGGATGATTTAGTTTCGAAACGAGATTCAAAAGCGCCTGTTTGACAATATTTTGGATTTTGAAAAGCCTGTTGACTTTTGCCGTTTATCAAAGGTGATTTTGGAAGTTTTTTTAAACATTCGTTTCTTATTTAATTTGTTCCACATTGTTTGCTGATTTTTACTTTATTTAAACTTTGTGTCATTTATTTATTTTATTTGACATCAAGGTGTATGCCATGCCTCTAAGCTTTCTTACTCGTTTTGCTAATAAACGTTCTACGTTTCTTATTTATTTGGTTATATATTATACATGTTTACTTAGCCTTTTTCCAGTTTTGTATACCTATTTAAACTTTATGTAAGTTATTTGTTATTTTATATTAGGCATAGCCTGCCCTATAGCATAGTGTATTTTTATTTGTTTTGTTAATAAAAGTTCTATTTTTTTATATATAGGCTAAAGTGAGTTTGACGTTGTATTTTGTTGTTGCATTCAAGCAATTGACGCCGAACTGCCGCTAATTCGAAAGTGAAAGTAAAATGCGCACAGCGCTTTTAAGCTATTTAAAAGCAGAGGAAAAGAGGGACAATTCAAATGAACTAAAAACGAACAATTGCTTTTACGCTGAATTGCCGCTATTTGAAAGTGAAAGAAAAATGCGCACGCCGCTTTTACAAGCTATTTAAAAGTGAAGGAAAGCGAGGAAAAGAGGGAACGCCCCCGCCCCCACGGTGATACCGGTATTACCGGTGTTGTCACACGTCGATTAACCGGTGGGAAGATTTTTAATCCGTCACAACCCTAGTCTGTGCTCTTTCCATTTTAAATTTGAGGCAACCACTGCATTTGAATCATGATCCAAACAAAGATGCAGCATACATGCAGCATGAGCAGTTTTTAATCTAAATTAGACTGTATAATTTCGAACTTTGTAGCAAAAACAGAATGGTCTGACTTTAGTTTTGTGAAACTATACTACATAAAAACATATCTGAACGAAACCGCAGATGAGCTGAATGAGACACACATTCACTCTCTGCCAGCAGGTGTCGCTTATGAACAGCAATGATATAGGGCGAATTCCAAACGGCTTTTTTGCACCCTTGAAGGACACTTCGGGAAGGGTGATCTTCAGTTAGGAGATCTTGCGACGCATTTTAAAACAAAGTTGTGGTTGATTTAGACAAACGTAAGTAGAATAGGCTAATTAAATTTGTCTTAATTTTAATGTAATACAAAATATTTTTCGTCAGAAATATTATTTAAGATGGTAGTGTAAGCAAGTTTAGTTTGAAAAAGCTTAATAGTAAATAAAACACAATTAGTGAATTAGTTTCAATATGTGAATAAAATATTAATAATGAGAAGAAATATATATTTGCAACAACTGGTGGAGTGCTGAATGCTGCACGCACGCGCAGTGTTTTGAAGGTAACATTTGGTCAGTCATTCCCTTCGCCAAGGGAGTTCCAAAAGCTTATATGAAACGGTAATTCCCTACACCCTTTAAAGAACACACTTCAAGGGCTCTGCCCTTCGAAGGGAGTAGGCATAGGGATGCTCACTTCCGTTTGGAATTCGCCCTTAGTGTTTCCTGGGTTATCGCTGTAAACATAGCAGAGCTAGCTTATGAACACTACTTTAATATGCATC